CAAGCGGTTTCATGCACGTTAACGAACTGAATCATTGTACTTTGTTATTGTTATTGCTGTATAATAATTTATTGCCTCTTCTTTCTTGCATTACTTTTTATACTTTCTTCTTTTGTTAAGCATTGGGGCGATGCCTTTTTCAGAGGAAGGCAATGCCACATTCCTTTCCTCTAGTTTTGCTATCGCCCTGTTACACTATGTTCAGCGTAAACCCCGCCTACTGTGTTTGAGAAGCTTGAAAGCTATAGTAGATTGTTTTGTTAAGATAACGCCCACTTAGTGAACCTTTCAGATTAATCTGGAACCTACGTCGCCACAAGCGATAACACTGAAATGTTCGATGATAAGTGTATAAATGCCGACACGCTTTGCCGCTTGTCAGTTGATCGACGGCCAACACTCTGTTCGTCACTATCAGTGCCAGTGTCTTACTTTCCTTTTGCGTGGTCACACGTTCAGCCCAAATGAACAATTTTTTCTTCTACATAAAGTCTTCTCCCTTCGTTCACGTCATGACTCCCCGACAATAAATAAAGTAAAAGGTATAATTGTGATCAGCTTAAATGTACACATGTGGAAAAAAAAAAGATGCGCTTCATTGCAATAAGGGCAGCATACTGTATGCAACGCCAGTGCATCGAGTGCTCTGTTCGTGTCGGTACTCTTCCATGTCTTCGTCTGTTTGCGCTTACTCACAATCTATGAATGATTTACTTATTCATTCTGAGATTAATACGTCCTGTTCAACATCCCAATACTACCATATGATTATGAGAGATCCCGTAGTGGAGGGTGACCACCTGGGGTTTCTCAATGTGCGTTCAAACATGGGCCTACAGTATTTTCGCCTCCTTCAAAAGTGCAGTTGGCCCAGCTGGGATTCGATCTCGGGAACTACAGGTCAACAGCCCAGTACTCCATTATTTCTGAGAGTACAAGGATATTAATAAAGAGCAGCCTGACTGAACTTGAGATGCATGCAAACCTCCATTTGGTAGTTGGTACAAAATTTGCACACATACACCACTGGTGGAGTCAATACATACCCAAAAAACTCAGTTCAAGAACTTCAAAAAGAAAAGTAATGATCATGCTTTTCAGTTGAAACACATCGCAAATTCTATCACACTGGCCGTTATTAGATTCTTTATTTTACCAGAATGGGCAAATGGTAGCCGACGCTGCGATCAGCAGGTGCCATGCTCCCCACTTGTCACAACTGTATTGCAAAGAAGCATGTCTTTATTTCTGCAGGTGCGTATTTTAGCTGACCACATATCCACTTTAGTTTTTATTTAGGTATTTATTTTTCTACTGACAGCACCGAGGCAAGCCACTTACCCTCATTTCTGGCACAACAGGGACCAGCTACAAGAGACCAGTGCTGGGTAGTTGGCATGCCAAAAAACAGCACCTGGCGAGTGTCGGGACACAATAACTCTACTGCTTGTGCCCAGGTGACCGGCCCCAGTGTACCGCAGGGAGAGCACGCACGTGTGTCGCTGCAGCACTTCATTTCAGAACGGACAGATCGAGAAGCCATTGCGCCTGTAATACTGCACAATGGTTAAAAAAAACTTTGTTCGAAGGCTACTTTTACATAAAGAGCACTCGAAAATGGAGAAAAGCTCTGCAGAGCAGACTGCATCTACGCATGAGGCATCGAGAGGACAGTGCTTTGCAGTGATGGCGACTCCTTCATCATCATTTTTCGGTTGCGTGCTGAATTTCGTGTTAAGCTAGTGCCAGCTGATAAGCCCCTATTGATAAGACTGTGCGGCGACAATACCATACTCCCCACTTCTGTAGTAAAGAAACAAAAAAAAGCAGAGAAAGTAGTACTGCTGTGTCAATTTCTTTTTCTGGCATCATGTGTACATCCTTTCTACAATATTTATGCATGTGGACGTTGATTAGGCAAACCACCGTGACAGCATAGCACGAGTGATGTCGGGCTCCTATGCTTGATGGTGCAAAATAAATTTTTGTCCATGGCGGCCGCATTTAAATGGGGGTGAAATACAAAGCACAGCCATGAGCGAAGATATATTAGTGCATTGAAAAACCACAAGTGGTTTAAATTAATCTTGATAACCACGCTACAGCGTGCCTCAAAATCATATCTTGTTTGGCACATGAAAGCCTAACAATTGATGTTGAACAGACATATTTATTTTACGCAGACAGAGGCAAGCGGAAAAACTATAACCGTGTGTAATGCAAACTAAAGGATGAGTAAAAATCAAAGACATTCGATCATTCTCTAGCAAAGCATAAATTCTGATGTTGCTTAGCCAAGTCAGTCAGTGAGAAAGAAGCTCACCTCGTCTGCTGACTCCAGAAATCTAAGCTTCGAGTATTTTGCTGCTGTATTCGTAACAAAAACCCTGTCTTCAGCCCAAACTTAGTTTAACAGAGGCCTCTTAGCATCGAATACTCATCACGAGTGTATCTTTTAGTAGTTCAGCAGCTTAGGCGAACGTACTTCCGCATAAATCTTGTGGACAGGGCAGCTTTCCTTCCATGCCACTGTTCGCAAATTATGTAGACTACTTACTTGCATCATTCACTTCACGTGGGGGAATCAGATGGAGTTTGGTGGTGGTGATCAGATGAAACTTTTTTTTACATACCTCGTGCGTATATTGCATAATATTCAAGTTTTATTTCCCGCAAGACACCATATAAATTTGGCTTTTTCGTCCTAGTTTCTACTGATGGGGGTCTTCAATAATGAATCTGGCAAACAGGCACAATTCGGTTTAGAAACCAGCCCGATATTACTTTACGGGAGAGTGAGCAGAATATATTTTGCTCGTCTGACCGTTTGGATGCAATGCCACCTCTAATCTTATTGATAATATAGAGAAGGAAAACCGTACAGGCATACATCCTCCCTCATTTCAAACTATTCCCACACTTGAATACCAGGATCCTATGGTTTTGTCTCGGCACTGCTCGCTCGTACCGCCTGTACCAGCTGCCCCTCTCCACTACGGGAGCAGCTGAGAAATTAGCGCTTCGGCCGGCAGCGCACTGCGGAAACTCCAGCGCTGGTTTCCTATTGCTGGAAAACATTATCCTTGGAGCTGCAAACGCGGCAGCACAGCAGGCGATCACCGCTGATGACTTTGAACAATTCAAAGTTCCCTGCATCCCACTTTTTGTGTGTTTTGTTAATTTGAAAACCTGCTTAATTGGAAGAATTTTCGCAGTCTCAGTGACTTTGAATTAACAAGGCTTCACTGTATTTGTTATGTTGATTGGGTGTATTGGAATAGTGAACAAGATTGTTTTAGCGTGTCACTAGTGGCATATATGATTGGGCTGGCAAAATTGTAGGTTGTAAACGTATTTCAAAAAACATACACAGTTTTTTAGTTTGCCCGAACATGTCTAGTGTCTCTGTGTGTCTACTGTCTTCCTGAACATGTATACTGTTTTCACAAGATCCTACAGACTGTCAACAGTTTACTAGAGGCAGAAACCAATGAATTTGTAGACTGTGAGGAGCTCTGTTGATGAACAAAGAGAGGTGCCAACAACTGCCAAAAATAGGAATTTTATGTGTTTACTGCTGAACAAGGTTTAGTGCAGCACAGGGTAAGATTCCCTGAAGCGATGCGTCAAGCAGCTCGACGACCCCTACCTAGGCCAGAGTACAACAGCAAATAAGGCCATTATTATGCTGTTTATCTCTGCCAATTAAAATGGCAGTGCCGCAAAATCCAGCCAGTTGATGTCTAATATTTTATTTGCTCTCCTGTAAATCTTTACAAAAAGCAAGTTAAGAAGCTGCTGAAGATCCACTACGTAGTATTGATTTTTCTGAAGAGAGCTCAATTTTTCCCAGTGATTTGTGCAACTTTGCTTATCTTGAAGTTTTCAACAGTTTCTATATTTTTGCATTAACGAGATATTACTGTATTCCTGCAATGTGGTGGCACATGTCAAGCAAGGTAAATGATTGGAAAAGTTACCCATTTCAATCATACAGGCAATGACCAATATGTACATCTTTGACCATCCTGTGACTGGTAGGCGATGATGTACATGCACATCCTTGACCCTCAAAAAATAAACCTCTAGTTAATTCTCATACAATAAAGTGGGGTGACAGGAATGCAATAAACACAATAGGCATATGCCTGAAATCTGGTTTCCATTATAACACACATTGACAGGAGTCCACCCTATGTACGGAAAACGCAGAAGCCTAGCTAATGCTTCAGCCGCACACAGTCATACTGCGCACGATTAACGTCCCCTCCCCATAGCTCTAATGATCGCAGCTTCAAGGGTTCGGGAGAATAAGGCAACAGGCTAGGTCAACAAAACAACACTTTATTGCTACGTCAGCAATAATGTGTAAATGTTGCGTAGAGGGACTGTCCGCTCTAAGCAGATAACAAAGGGTAGACGCTTACGCCTTTGGTCGTCAACGTTCTTGGCGCGTAGGAAGTATCTGGGGTGGTCCTTCGTCAGTGGCCGGCGCAAGAGAGCCCTTGTCACTGTCACGCTCATCTTGACCAACCTCCCGGTTTTCTTCTCCCCAATGAGGGTTGGTTCTCTCGCTAAAAGAGGGCAATGCGTTTCACGTGTGCCGGCCGTGGAGTGACAGGTCCCTTCGAAAGAGGCTTCGTTGTCTCGTTTCTCGAAGTGACAGACATGTCCTCACAACAAGGCTGCCGTAAAAAGGAAGAAACTATGGGAGCACGTGCATCTCCAAGATGTGTAGTAGGCAAGCCCAGACTTTTTTATGAGTGGAATGAGAAGATAATACACGAGACTTGCAACAAGTTTCAGTTCCTGCTTAGCCTGCAAACAAGGCTTCCAATCCAAGGTTTCCGCTAGTCATAGCCTATGGAACACACAACCAACATGAGAAATGTCATGCATTACACTGAGCTGCTGTCCCCCCTCAGCCATTCCCCAAAATGTTTTCAACACAGATATTTTTTGAGACTCCGCATAAAAATACAAGTTTGTCCGGCACTTACCAGTTGCATCTCCTGATGTAGTCTCCCTGTATGTGATATCGACCATGTTAGGAGAGCTGACACTGATGCCAGCAGTCACTGTATCAGAGTCTCCAGTGCATGAGCAAACCACCCTGCACAGTAGTGGACAAATGGTGTAGTCCTATACATGTTTTAGGTAGTGAACCACACTGAAGCTTTTCTATGGTAATGAGTTCCTACAAACTCAGGTGTGTGCATTCAAGAGCTATTATGCCCAGCCTTCAGCATGTCACTGCTATCAGTGTATGCCCAGCCTTTAGCATGCCACTGCTATCAGTGGTGGCCAAGCTTCATTCTATGTTCTGATTGCAGTAACAAATAGAGGGCAAAAAGCCAAGTGCCCCACCTACAAGCAGTCATAAAATGCTAAAAATCTGCTACAACACCAAGTCATACAAGATTGAAAACAATCTTATAATAATATGTAAAACAAAAATGCTAATAGAACTCACATTCACTGCTTACACTATATTCTATTAAAACCAGTCATTGTCTGCTTTTTCAAGCAGTGCTAGAAGAAATTCAATACAAGTTTCCTCATGAAACACCTATCTCAATAACAGCAAAATTTTCTTATAAATCTCTTGCCACATGCACCTGTCGACAAATGTCTTTGACACTGTTTTATACAGAGTCAATGACATTTGGCAACTTCTAAAATAATACATAAAACTTGTTCGAGCTCTAATGTCTCCCCCTTGTTTTTTTTTTCTTTTATTTCAATGTAGACCACCGGCTTTTGCTTGCACATCTGAACGCACGCATGTGGTGTGGCTGGTTTTTGTTTCATCTGTTGGGTGGTTATTGATCCTTGTGTTCATAAAGCAGATGGCTGTCTGGTTGATCGCTTGTTACTCATTTGTTTATTGCTCCGCGGTGTGCGATTACATGTTTTCATGTGGTGCTAAATTACCGAAATCATGCCGCCATGGCTCCATTTGCTGTTTTGAGGATTTGGAAAAATCTAACTCCGTCGCATTGGCGAAAACAATCTCTGAATCCGGACAGGCCGCCATTGGAACCTGAACTTGGCAACGTTTAACGCTAGAACCTTATATAGTGAGGGAAGTCTAGCTGTACTATTCGAGGAGCCAGAGGGTGTTAAATGGGATATAATAGGGCTCAGTGAGGTTAGGAGGACAGATGAGGCTTATAAGGTGCTACAGAATGGGCACGTTCTTTGCTATAGGGGCTTGGCTGACAGAAGAGAACTGGGAGTGGGGTTCCTAATTCACAGAAACATAGCTGGCAACATAGAAGAATACTATAGCATTAATGAAAGGGTGGTAGGTATCGTAATTAAACTGAATACAAGATACAAGTTCAAGAGGATACAGGCTCACGCGCCTACATCCAGCCATGATGATGCTTCAGTTGAAAGCTTCTATGAAGACGTGGAATCAGCAATGAGTAAGGTAAAAACACAGTATAAAATACTGATGGGAGACTTTAATGCAAAGGTAGGGAAGATGCAGGATCGAGACCAGGCAGTAGGAGACTATGGCATCGGTACTAGAAATGCCAGAGGAGAGCTACTAGTAGAATTCGCAGAACACAAAAATTTACGGATTTTGAATACCTTCTACCGAAAACGAGGAAACCGCAAGTGGATATGGAGGAGCCCTAATGGCGAAAATAAGAACGAAATAGACTTTATAATGAGTGCACAGCCAGGCATCGTGCAATATGTGGAAGTGGTTGGCAAGGTACGATGCAGTGACCATAGAATACTACAATCTCGAATTCGCCTAGACTTGAAGAAGGAACGAGAGAAACTGATACGCAAGAAGCCAATCAATGAGCTAGCACTGAGAGGGAAAGTACAGGAATTCAGATTCTCACTTCAGAACAGGCACTCGGCTCTTAGTGAGGAAACCAACCTTTGCGTAGATACAATGAATGATAATCTGACGAGTATCATTACGGAATGTGCAGTGGAAGTTGGAGGCAGGGTAGTTAGACAGGACACCGGCAAGCTTTCCCAGGAAACGAAGAATCTCATTAAGAAGCATCAAATCATGAAAGTCTCAAGTACAACAAACAAAATAGAACTGGCAGAGCTTTCAAAGTTGATTATTAGGCATAAGGTATGCGATGTGAGAAGGTATAACATGGAGAGAATTGAACACGCGCTGAAAAACGGAGGAAGCATTAAAGCAGTGAAGAGGAAACTTGGGATAGGCAAAAATCAGATGTATGCACTAAGGGACCAAGAAGGCAAAATAACTATCAATATGAATAGGATAGTTAAAATAGCAGAGGAATATTACAGAGATCTGTACAGTAGCCGGGATAACCACAACTTTAATACTATAAGAACTAGCAGTAACCCAGATAACACCACATCAGTAATGACAGAAGAAGTCAGAAAAGCTTTGGAGAGCATGCAAAAATGCAAAGCTGCTGGTGAGGATCAGGTAACATCAGATCTGCTGAAAGATGGAGGACAGATTGTGTCAGAAAAACTAGCCATCCTGTTTACGAGGTGTCTCCTGACGGGAAAAGTACCAGAGTCTTGGAAGCTTCAAGAAGCTTCTCGTTTGGAAGCTTCTCATTTTCAAGAAGCTTCAAGACTGTAGTAGATCATTTCGATAAGATCACGCCCACTCTGCGAACTGTACAGATTATTCTGGGACCTACGTCACCGCCAACGATAACCCTAGAACATTTGTTGGCAAGAGTATAAATGCCAACGCACTTTGCCACTTGTCAGTAGTTGATCGACGGCTGACGCTTCGTTCACTGCTATCTGTGCAAGACTGCTATTGTAATCGGACTTGCCATTTACCGGGCACAGGTTCGCCCAAATAAACAGTTAAATCCCAACACAAAGTCTCCTGTCTTCGGCCACGTCACGACCCCGTGACATCTGGTGGAGGTGCTGCTTCGTTCATGTACCGGACGCCCCCGTCAAGCCGTGAACCCAGCACACGTCGCGGAGAAGACACCGACGCCAACCAGGAGCAGTGAACAAGCCGCCGACAGCAAGGTCTACCACCAGAATACGGGCTTCTACAAGACAAGGCGAAGAAGACCAAGGCCATGACCTTGACTGCAGCGACATTGACAACCGCAGCCTCTCAGCCCGCGATCGTCATGCATCAACCCAGGAACCACCAACTTTCCATGGGTCATCGTTTGAAGACCCGGAGACCTGGCTAGAAACATACGACCGTGTGACGGCCCTCAAGCACGGGGACAATGAAGAAAAGCTCCGTCGTGCGTACTTTTACCTAGAAGACACCGCAAGGACCTAGCTCGAGAATACGGAGTCCACGCTCCGAACGTGAGATGTCTTCTGCGGCGCATGCCTGCAAACGTTCGCGAACGTTGCTCGCAAATAGAGGGCCGCTCCTTTACTAGAGACCCAGGTTCAGCTATCAAATGAAAATATTGCCATTTTCACAGAGAAGATGACCCGCCTATTCCGTCACGCTGACCCAGACATGCCCGAGGAGAAGAAAGTTCGTTTCCTCATGCGAGGGGTTAAACAGGAGATCTTCGCGGGACTAATAAGGAATCCACCGAACACCATCAAAGAATTTGTATCCGAGGCGACCACCATCGAAAAGAACCTTGACATGCGCACCAGACAGTATAATCGCCGCCTGACTCCTCCAAAATGCGCTGCTGCTCAAGCCAGTGACTCCAATGATCTGCATGAAACGATCAGAGCGATCGTGCGAAAAGAGCTGCGCAAACTGTTGCCTTCGGCGCAGCCTCAAGTGAATTCGATCGCCGACATTGTGCGAGAAGAAGTACGGCAATCGCTTCAAATTCCCCAAGTACTGCTGCCCGAGCCGGAAACTATGAGCTATGTCACTGCGGTGCACAACAACGCTCCTACCCGTCCACGTCAAAACGCCGCCCCATCGCACTTTCGTCGCCAGACGCCACCGCCGCCACCACCCCCACTGACGTCCTACCGTTCCCCAGCAGGCCAGTGCAGTGCGCCGAGGAAAACAGACGTTTGGCGACCGCCCACTCTGCTACCACTGCGGCGAGGCCGGGCACACATACCACCATTGCCAGTACCGACAGATGAAACTGCATGGCTTCGCCGTCAATGCACCACGTCCGAAGCCAGGAGAACGACACCGTGACATCGCCGACTGACAGGATCTCAATGGACACCACGAAGTCCTTCCTGTTTGCCGTTACCCAGCCGATGCATGTCACCGCACCACCGGCAGTACTCTGGCCCAACGTGAGGTCAGTCTTCTAGCCCATATCCGGGAAACTAAGGGCAGCAACCGATGGAGGTGCGGTTGCTGTGCGACGAACTACCAAAGATCTTTTTCCGACGACGCCGCCGCGACAGGGCTTTCCGAGCACAACGCCAACCAGGCAAAGCCCTGATGGCGACCCCTCACTTACAAAAAGTGACCTGATGGCGCAACATGGAAGCAGCGGCACAAGCCGATGCAGCGCGACCTGACGCCACGCCCTCAATGTAATGCGAGACGGTGAACTAGCGACCTAAACGTTCTTATCGACGGCCACAGTGCGACCATTCTCGTCGATACTGGAGCCGACTATTCCGTCATCAGTGGGTCGTTCGCCACGAAGTTGAAGAAAGTTAGGACAGCTTGGGAAGGCCCTGAAATCTCCACAGCCGGAGGTCACCTCGTAACGCCTGCAGAAATCTGCACAGGGAGAGTCAAAATTAATGGCCATACTTATTCTACAGACTTCGTAGTCCTACAGCATTGCTCGAGAATTGTCATCCTTGGCATGGACTTCTTATGCCTCCATGGTGTTGTCATCAAGCTAAGAACAAAGTCGATAACGTTATCCACAGAAGAAGCACTAACACTGTGCACGCCGTCAGGAAACCATGCCTTGAATGTGCTGGAAGAACAAGTCACTATTCTGCCTCACTCTAGCGTCATTATTTCAGTCGGCATTCCTAAATCACCAGTCTTGGAAGGCGTCGTTGAAGGCAGTCAGCATCTGTTGGTCACACGAAATATTTGCGTCGCAAGAGGAATTGCAGAGCTGCGGGAAGGCCAAGCAACGGTTATGCTCACGAATTTCAGCAATGAGTATAAACATGTGAAGAAAGAACACCGGTCACATGCATCGAAAAAAT